AGAGCACCAATTAGTTATTTTGATACAAATCCATCTGGTAGACTAATCAATAGATTTTCAACTGATTTATCTTTAGCTGATAATTAAATTCAATAGATTATTACTGATATCTTTGAATAAGGATCTTAATTTTTAGTATCATTAGTAACTATAGCTATTTTATAACCATTCTTTACATTCCCTTTAATATTTACTATTACTATGACTATTATAATATTTACAATTACTAGATAAGTTGTTTCATAATTAAAAGTTTGTGATCTTATTTAAAGATCTCCTTTATTTGATTAATTTAAAGTATGCTTATATGGAATTACTTAAATAAGAATCAATAATAATAAAGAATGGATAAGAGATTAATTTTCTATTCTATGTAATTAATCAATGTAAGCAAATTTAATTTTTTCTTATTCATAAAGATGTTTTGGTTTTTATATTGATATTTTTGGTTAATTCACAAATATTATTGGAATTTTCCTAATTATTGCCATGATTGAAGATCCAACTTTATTTTCATAAGCTCTTTTATTACTTTCTACTTTTAATACATAAGCAGGAACTTTAAGATAATTTATGGCTTTTGATTCAATTATGAATAGTGTTAATAGAATGTTTGAAATTTGTGATATTGTTGTTGAAGCTTAAGTTACTTAACCAATAGATGAAGATTTAATAGTAATTGGATGGCCTGAATTTGGAAAAATATAATTTTAAAATGTAGAAATGTAATATAGATCTAATATGCCTATGATTTTAAAAGGAATGAGTTTTATTATAGAAGGAGGGGAAAAAGTTGGAGTTGTTGGTAGAACTGGAGCTGGTAAATCATCTATTATTTAAACTTTATTAAGAATTACAGAAATATCTCCAAATGGGTATTTAATAATTTTATATATTTAGTAATATATTAATAGATGGTCAAGATATAAGAGAGGTTGGTTTAGCCAAATTAAGATAAGAAATAGCCATTATACCATAAGTACCATTCTTGTTCAAAGCTACTATTAGATAAAACTTAGATCCTCTAAATTTATTTGATGATTCCAAAGTCTGGAAAGTTCTCAAGGATACTGGATTAGTAGAATATGTTTTAGAATTACCAAAATAATTATAATCAGAAGTTTAACCAGAATTATTTTCTATTGGATAAAAATAACTTATTTGTTTATCAAGGGTTTTATTAAACAAAAAAAGGATTCTAATTCTTGATGAAGCTACTGCCAATGTTGATATGGCTACTGATGCCTTTATTTAGAATACTATTAAAGAGAAATTTAATGATTGTACAATAATTACAATTGCTCATAGACTTAATACTATTGCTGATTATGATAAGATTTTAGTACTTGAAGAAGGAAAAGTATTAGAATGTGGTCATCCATTTGAATTATTAGCTACAGATACAAAAACTGCTATTGGAATTGATAAAGAATCTGTTTTTGCAATGATGGCAATTTAAACTGGAGTAAAAAATGGTTAAGCTATTTTTGATTTAGCCAAAAAAGCTTATTTAAAAAAAATATTAAAAAATTAGTATAAAAGAGCTGAAACAATGTTATAATCATCTGTTCATTTAAAACAAGAGAATTTTACTTAATCAATATATGAATAAGAGTCATTATTATAACCAATTGATCCAAAAAATTAAGTACATTGAATTTTACATTTTTATAGAAACTTTAATTAATAAATAGTTATTATTTATTTAAAATTTAATTTCATATATATTATTTAAGGACTCATTTCTTACTAATAATATTATTATTAATTGGAATCTGAATCTATGATTTAGGTTAGACCCTTTGTGTATTACTAGCTTATTTCTATACTTCAAATTATTTATATAATTATGCTAAAGAAGGGTTTTAGTGTTCACTTACAGGTTTAGATTATGGTGAAATAGCCATTTTTTTATTTTATGGACTAATCAATTATTTTAGATAATTTTGTTAATTGAAATTCTAATGAGTTGGACTTAAACTTAATTATTATTAAAGTTTTGAAGTTGGTGCTTATTACTATTTTGTAGTAAGAACAGGCCTAAATTAAAATGAAATTTTTTACTTAGATTAAGTATTTTATAACAATTTCTATGTTTTGAGTAATTTACTTTACAAATCAGAATCTAATTATAAATTTATTGGCAATGACTGAATTGAAAAAGGTTCTTTTTTCTCTTAAGATTTACTCAAAGTAGATTCAGTAGGAACCTAAATAAAAATAGAATGATTTACTGTTTTCTAAGCTTGCAAAGCATCAAGATCAAGCAAAGCTTATAAAAGATAAGATCTTTAAACTTCTACTTCTCGATTAAAAGTATAACCTATAAAATTAACATCTTTTCTTATGGATTTGCCAGAACTTATATTTATTATATTAATAATTACTCTTATGGTACCCAAGGTTCTTGTTCTTCAAATTTATCAAAATTTCTAGTATCTAATTCAGATTTAATTTCTGGTATATAAGGTGATACTTTAGATCTCAAACTCTTCCAATCAATACCAGCAAAGAATGGATGTGCCTTAATTTCATTGACTCCATTGACACCCAATCTATTTGAAGCATCACTCATTAATCTAAGAATAAGATCTGTTGCAGCTGGTGATAATTTGGCTTCAGGAGGAATGACAAGATGTTTTTTCCAATTAATGATTTTTTAACATGTAGATGAAGGATCATCTGAAAAAAATGGAGGATATCCTACAAGCATTTCAAATAGAATTGCTCCTAAAGACCACCAATCTGCAGTCTCATTATAACCAGATTTCCCAAAAACTTCAGGAGCTATGTAATCTGGTGTTCCAACTGTACTATATGCTTTAATTCTATTTCTTTTAAAGGTTGTAGTGTTGCTAACTTTGTCTTCAGGTTTATGTACACTTATTCTTTCATCTAATCTTGTTCCACGAGATTCTACATATTTACATAATCCAAAATCACTTAACTTTATATGTCCATCTGCCTATAGTAAAATATTATCTGGTTTTAAATCTCTATGTATATATTTTAATTTATGCACTTAATCAACTGCCCTTTTTAAAATAAATTCTATATTACATTATTGATTCTGCCATATAAAATTATGATTCTTTTTCGGTAAAGATGTCTTTCTTCATAAGTAAAGTCATTAAATCTCCTCCTGGTAAATATTCCATCACTAAATATAAGTATCTACAATCGAGAGAATTTTGTACTTCTCATCTTAGAATGAGCATTTCAATTGAACTATCCAAGCATTGTCTGATGCTGCTAATAAATCTCTTTCGGCTCTTACGTGACATACCTTGGTTATATATTAAATACCTAATTTTTATAAAGCATTTCAGATTTTTTCATTTTTTTTACTGCCACAATTTCATTTGTCAACTTATTTTTACATAATCTGACTTCACCAAATGCTCCTCTTCCAATTATCTCTACTGATTCAAAATCTTTTATGCTAAGCTTTTATCTTTGTAATCTCAATATTTCAGCTTCTTTATGAAATAAGTCCTATTTTATCACTTGTTATTCAATTTAAGTATAATTCAAATTTGTCAATTTTTGAATTAATTATTCCCATTTTTCTCTTTTCTCTTTTTATTCATAAAGAAGCTTTTGGTATTTCTTCTCTATATATTATTTTGCAGCCTCCACTCTTTCTTTTGTTGATTATGATAACTTTAACATTTATGTTTTTGAGGGATCCATAATAATTAAATAAATTAATAATTTTAATTTAGAATTCATAAATCATAATATTTTCTAAATACTATAAAATTGATCAATAAACACCTTCCTTTTATTTCAATCATTAATAATTATTAAATGTAATAATCTTTCTAAAATTGTATAACAATAAATAATAAATCAATAATTATCAATCTAATTTGATCATATATAAATAGAAACTTTAATACTATTGATCATAATCGTTTTTATATTTGAAAACATTCTTATATTTACAAAGAATAGTTAAGTAATTTATTAATTTTATAAATAATAAAGTTAGAAAGACAATTGTAATTAAAGCATATTTATAAGATATTTTATTTATTATTAATATACTTAACATAAAAAATGATTGAAATTTAAACAAAATCATTAAACTTTTATCATTATTCTTTATATAATTAATAATACTATATAATTTCTTATAAAATTATTATTAATTTATCAGTTAACATGAATTCTGTCCCATTCCAAGACATATTGAATAAAACAAACAAAACTCGATGTAATAGTCCTTATATTTCTTCATGTATAATATATTATAATATCTTAAGGTTCATCTAAAAGATAATCAGCTGTATATTCATCAAATTCATCATATGCTGAGTCGAATCAAAAAACAAAGCCTGATGAGAAGACCATAAATTAGTTATATTCCCTTTTTAAAAAATAAGGTTTTGACAATATAAATGGACTGCTTAAATTTTTAGATGCTTAACGTGATTAATAAACAAGAAAAAGTACATCACCAATGCTTAGGACAGTTTAAGATGAGAATGATCGAAAAAAGTTTGGAATCATGATTAATGAGGCAAAGTAGGGTTTAAATTAGTTAGAGCATAAAATCATAAATTTATAAAACAAATAAGAATGTAGAAACAATATGACATTAAAATATAAGAATCTATTGACAGAAGATGATGAAAATCATGAATATTTGTATGAAAACAGATAAGACTATAAAAAGTTATATACATAAACACTTAATGAAAAAGAATAACTTTAGAAAAAAGTAGATTTAATAGTTTAAGAGAATAAATAAAGAGATGAAAAAATCAATTCTTTGCATTAAGAAGTTGAATTACTTAAAAAATAAATATAAGGATTACTAATACTAAAAGAAGAGAGTTCATAATCTCCAAGACCTTCTATAAGTGGTTCTGATTATACATTTACACTTAATGTTTGTAATTCAGAAGTAAGAGGAGATAAACCAATCTCCTATAAAGATTTTTTACATACTTAAAGTTAGTAGATAAAACGAATTTGATAGTAGAGATTATTCATCATAATATACTCCAAGCATTTTTACCAATATTATTTAGAATATTTGTGTTGGCACCTGCTCCAATTAATATGTCTGCAATTTTATAATGGCCATATGAAAGAGCTAAATGGACAGCTGTATTTCCATCATCCTGCTTAAGTAAAAAAATACATTTTAAATATTTATATCTGCTCCTTTCTTAATTAATTCTTTAACCATTTCTTTACATCCACTTTTGGAAGCCAAAGTCAATAAGGTATCATGATTCTCTAATCTTTTATCTATGTACATTTATGGAACTTATTAAATATGTTCCAAAAACTATTTCTAAATTTGAATATTACTTCTTGGACATCATTATCATAAATAAGTTATTCTAATATTTTAAATTAATCGAGGTTTTATCTTCTACTATGACCAAGAGCTTGGTTTCTCATACGTAAAGAATAAGAAAACATACTCAAAGTCTAAATTAATTAATATAATTACTTTATTTTCTAAAATAGGTTATTATAGTAATGAAATATTAGATGATTTTTATCTTTTTATTATCTCTTCTTTTAATTCGATTTATTCTTTAGGATGATTCATTCTATCTTTAGTAATTTTATCAAAGTCTCTAATATTTTAACTTTTTCTAATATTAGGAGGATTTGTTTAAGATATAATATTTGAAGAATCAATTGCTGATTTAGATTTAATAGATTTTAAGGATGATTATGGGCTCATTTCTAAATTAGATAGATTTTCTTCTAAATTTTATACACTTGAAACTTTGACCGATTATTGTGATTGATTAGTTGGTTTAGTGAGATATTATGTTGAAGCTTAAGTAAAAATGTTATAAGTTAATTAATTTGTATATTGTGATGTTGGTTTACTATGGACATTAGTAACATCAGGTGAATTGGATGTATTTTTTGAATTGATTTTTGGTTTAATAATAACAGTTAAACTATCTCTTTATAAATTTCTACTTCGACCTTACTATTTTAAACTGATTAGTTTTTATTTTTGAAGGAGTAAGAGTTCTGAAGATTATTGAGATTATTGAGATTGTTAAGATGAAGAAATATGTTATAATGGGGCTTCAAGAATAGATGATTAAACAAGATCAGAATGTTCAACATCATTCATTCTTTATTAACTCTGATATCTACCAATGAGTATATTTTCATATCTCATTTCAATGCCATGATACATCATTTTACGTACTTCTTATTACTTATAGAAAGAGTCTAAATTTTTTAATGCATTAGTATCATAATCTCCATGAATTAATTTTTAAATCTGTTCTTTAGATTATTCCATCATTTGAAATGTTAATAAATCATTCTTAGTATTTTAATCTAAAATACTCATAATAGCCTATCCATTCATAGGACAGTGAAATTTATTCTTCACTTTCTTAATAGTATTTAACAATCCAGTTGATATTTCTAAATTTTAATATTTAATTTACATTTTTAATCATTGACAACATCTTCAACAAATATTTATGATTCAGAATCATCACTTAGATTTTTCATTGATTGAATTATATTTTACATTTTACTCTCATGTCTTTCATCAACTTTAAGTCCTAATCTAGTTTTATTAAATCAATTACTTTAATTAGGTTCTTCTAAAATTTTATCAAATGATGCACTCTAATCTGATTAACTAGATAATAAACTAATTGAATTATCAAAGTCAAAAGAGAATTACTTCTTTTTTTAAGGAATATCATATCTCTCAAGTACTATTTACCATTCTTAAACTAAATTTGATATTTCAACACTTTTAATTTATTTTGTAAAATTTTGACTTGCTTAAAAAGAACTAATATATATTTAAAAAAGATTTACATTTATGAACCAGTTATCATAGAGACATATTAATAAAATACATCTTCAATCTCCTTTAAATTATGCTAAGTATAAGAAATCTTTTAAGGTATTTTATGTAATCTATTTTGATAATATAGTCTCACATATAAATTTGACTAATTATAATATTTTTCATTCTTACTTTAGAATATTCTTAATTAAAATCTAAATTGCTGTTATCTTCAATAATATTTGTATTTTAAATACTATTATATACATTATGATTTGATATATGATCTTTATTTATAATAACAGATTAAGATGCTGAATTTTATATTTTTTACAATTTAAAAGATGAATGTAATGAAGATGAATGCTAAATGGCTTTTTTAGGTGGTGAAATTGGTTAAATTACTTATTCATCTATAATAGAATCCATATGAACAATAAATTTAGGTTTATTAAATTCCAAAATTGTATTTTACAATAAAATATTAGTAATTGTAATAGTAATTTTATTAGCATCATCCATTAAATTAGGTAAAATATTTTCTAAATTACTTTATAATACTGGTCCTAAACCAATCTGATTTGAAAGTACTGATTATTTTTTAAATTTGTTTAATAATGAAAATTATTATTATTATGGTTAATCACATTCTTTAGTTGTCCATTAAGTATCTTTAATCATTTAGATTTTTCTTTAAAATGCTTTATTTGTAGTATGTAATTTTTGCAATTAATTTTAAACAATAGTATTTATTTTATGATTATGTTTAAAATTATATTTTTCTTTAATGTATTTAATAGATTGTTTAGATTTATAGTTATCTTTAGTTGGTTACAAATTCTTTGCTAATATAAAATTTCCTTATTCAAATTAATCACTTATTTTTTACCTTTCCTCTTCATGTTTTGAACTAAATTCAGGTGAAATGATAACTGTAAATAAAGATTTTAACTAAATTAATATAAATATTACTTCTCTATTTTTAAACATATTTTAAACTTATTATGATACAACATTTTTGAATTTCATTTTAACACTCAATTTTTTCATAGCATTTGATATTTATAATTCATCTTCATCACAAATGACATCTTTTTCAGTTTATATAATCTCTTCTTGTTGTTCAGTAGGATTTTGATGGTCAATTAAGTCATTTGGCTCAGTAATACTAACCTTTCTTTTTATTGAATTGAAAAATTCAGAAGCTTATTTGTTTTCATTATTAAATTAATTTTCAATTTCAATATTTCCTTAATCAAAACATATATTTTCTTATTCTTAAAAAAGTTGACTTTTTGAATCTTAAATTTCTGTTACTTATTAAATAGGGATTAAAGGTATTTCTGTAATTCTAGGAGATGTATTTTATATACTCCTTTATGATTCTGTTTACAATGAAGGCAATGTATTCTTTCTGAAAGTATCAAATCTTCTTGTATCTCTAACTTTATTTTATATGATCAAGAATGGAGCTTATAAAGAATCTGATTAAAATATCATTTTTTCTTATCTTCCTCTTCTTCTAATTGGAGGTTGTGGTTATTATTTGATATCGGTAGAGAGACTTTTGATGTGATGGGAAATTTATTATTTTTAGGGGAAGTGAAGAGTAGAAGTCTTAATTCTTAAGGAATCATTTTAAATAGGCTTATTAATATTTTATGGACTTAGTAAAGGCTTCACTTTATTAGAGTTGCATTTATTATTTGATGTTTATGTTTTTGCAGAAGATAAATATTCTGATAAAATGCTTGGAGTTGAAGTGGTAGGACCATTGTATTTAGATAATGCCTTATAGAGTTGCTTAAATAGAATAGATAACATAATTATACTTATTTTAGATTAGCACTGTCGAAAAAATTTTAATTCATTATATTATTTGTTATGTAAATTGCTTATATTTTTTTAATTTTTTATAATTTCTAGATGAATCCTTAAAAGTACACTTATAGAATAACAGTGTAGACGTCCGGCATTTTTACTTGATGGAATATAGATGGCACATCAAGGAGGAGTGAAATAATATGATTCAAAAAAAGACAAATACTTGAAAGATTACTATTAAAATGTGCTTAAAAACCAAAAGGACAAAGGAACTTCAAGATTTCATACAGAGAGCAATCGATAAGCGAACAACTCTTCTGTTTTATCATTAAATTAAAGCATAGTAAATAAATAATTATAAATTTTATGAAGCAACTTCATCAACGACCTAGTATTAGATAAAATCAACTTAATCGTGTTTACACTTAAAATTAATATCCTGACAAATCTATGTCTCCCAATATGCAAACGAGATTATAAAATACACCCAAAAATAAAAGAGAAGGTGGTGTATCGTTACCAAAATTAGATTCCACTAACAGCAACCTCTAAAAGCCTGTCACCAGAGAATAATTATTACAATTCCTTGATTAAATAATGTTTGCTGTTGAAAATGTATAATACATTGTATCATAATATGAAAATCCTCCTAGCGAAATATACTAATCATAGCCAGTCAGACAAATGGCAAAATTTAAAATTACACAAGAATAATAAACTGATCACTCATATATACAATCTTAATTAAAAAACAAATAGTAGTATGTCAATAAAGTCAATAAAAAAACATAAACCCCAATTAAATAAATGAGGGCAAATTCATAAAATTGTGAATAACATTAAATGAATAAAAAAACAACTAAAATTAAAACTGAATTTACAGAAGAAAGTGATGGTACTGAAAAAAGACCTACAAGATTTCCTAATATTGTTTAATCATCTCAAAAATAAAAGATTGAAAAAATATTACCTTAAAATAGAAAAAATAGAGTATAATCTTAAGTAATATCATTTTCTTATATTAATTAAAAGGAAGATGAATTAATTTAAAAAGAAAATACTAATAAATAAATTAGTAATAATTAAACATAACAAAATAGTGATTAATCTAATATCATTTATGAAACTTCTTAATAAAATTAAACATAAAATAATGTCGATCCCAAAAATAAACGTCATGTCACTCCTTAAAATAATAAATAATCTACCTATTTAATAGAAACTTAAAAAAAACAATAAAGATCACCAAATAATAGTACACATTAATTATAAAAAACTAATTAAAATGCTATGATTATATAAAATTAAAATAAATAAGAAGGAAATTAATCAATTTAATAGATAAGTTCAAATCGTTATTCATTAAGTGATTTTGAAGATGCAGATCCAGAAATCTTATTAAGTAAAAGTTCTTTATAAGATTAATAAATGAGTTAGAAAAAATAAGTTAATGCATAGAAAACTCCAAAAGTTAAAAAAAGACCTATTTAAATTAAAAATACAAATTAAAATGATATCAATGGTCAAGATCAACCTAAGTAATTTGATTAAAAAACAATAGAATTAAGATAAAATACAAATGAATAATCTAATAAACCTTAATAGTTATAAACTAACTCAAATGAAGGAGATTATGAATTTTCAAATGAATTTTTATCAGAATAAACTAAACAATTAACAAAAAACAGTTCAAATACTTAAAATAAATAATAAATTAATAAATTATCATAAAAACAAAATTCATCAAAAAATATTCTTTAAATAAATCCAGATCCTGAATTTTATCCAGATAATGTTTAAAAATAAGAAAGATAATATAATAATGAATAAAATGAAAATATTCATTAAAATCAAAAAGAAGACAATAAAATAAATCAATAAAAACCAAAATCAGATGATTAAGTACTTAGATAAAATAATAATCAAAATGAAGAAGATAAAATAAATCAATAAAAAGATAATTAAAATTCAAAAGAAGATGATTAAACACTTCAATAAAATGACAATTAAAATCAATATGAAGAAGATAAAAAATAATAGAATCCACATCAAAATTAAAATGAAGAAGATAATACAAATCAATAAAATTAACTTTAAAATTAAACCAAAGAAGATACAATAAATTAATAAAATGATAATTAAAATCCAAAAGTAGAAAATCAAACACAATAGATTCAAAAATAAAATTAAAATGATGAAGAAGATAAAATAAATCAATAAAAATAGAATTAAAATTAAAATCCAAAAGAAATTGATGATCAAACATAATAGAATGACCATTTAGATTAAAATGAAGAAGATTAAATTAATAAATAGAATGAACAGTAATAAAAAAATGATACCAATAATATTGAGATAATTTAGGAAGATAATTTAAATAAATAGCCACAGATTAATTAGAATGATGAAAAATTAGAAAAATCATAAATTTCTTAAAAATCTCAAAAAAATTAATAAAAAATAGAAATTTAAGAGGATAAGTAGTAATTAAATACTTCAACAATTTCTTAAAATATACATTAAAATAAAGATAAATAAAATTCTAATGATTAAGCACCTTAGAATTAGAATGTAAAATAAAATGATGAAGAATAATCTGAAGTTAATTCTATTGTGAAAAGTATTTATGTTTAATCTAATGATTTGATAAAGTAAAAAAGTGACCATAAATCTGTTATTTAATTAGTTTAAAATGAAGAAATAAATGATGAATAAAAATAAATCAATAAATAGCAAAATGCCTAATTAGATAATTTTTAGGAAGAGTAAATTAAAGATAAAATATCTCAATAATTAAATATAAAAAATAATGAAGATCTTGGTTAATCATAATTAATTCATGAAATCTAATCTGAAAAAAAAGTTGAGAAAAAAGATAAATTTGCTAAAACATATTTTTAGGAAAATTATTCTTAATAAAATTAAATAAAATTAGCTTAAACAGGATTCAAGTTTTAGCCAAAGAGTTTGTAATAGAGTGGAGCCTATTAAATTGTATTTGATAAGGATAAATACAAAAATAAAGAAAAAAATAAAATTAATGATGATGATAACTAAAAATCAAATCATTAAATATTTGAATAAAATAAAACAAAAAACTATTAATATAAAGCTTAAAAATCTTTATAAATAATTGGAAGTAATTAAGAAGATAACAATCAAAAAAGGAATATCAAAAGCCAAATTTTAAATGATAATGAAAAATTTGATGAAGGATTTATACAATTATTAAATAGAAATAAAAAGAATGAATAAAATAATTAAGTAAGTAATTAAAATGCAACTTCTTAAAATATCAGCAAACAATAAAGTAATGAAAAACTCTAATAATAATAAGTTATAGCTATTGAACCAATTTAGAATCATAATTAAAATGAATAAGAAGTAATTCCTTTGACTAATAAAAGATCTCAGCATATTGATAATAATGATTCTTTAAAATAAAGTTAATTGAATAATAAAGAAATTGTAAATATAAATGAAGGTAATGGAAATTAAAATAATTAAATATAAGATGAAGGTATGAAATAATCAAGAATTCAAGATGAAAGTTTAAAATAATCAAAAATTCAAGAGAACAATAATAATTCTTAGATTCAGGACTTTTAAATATAAAAGATGTTAAATTAGGATCCATAAGATATTGATAAAAATTGATATTGTTTTCTTAAAAGTAAAATTTTTAATTGATATCCTTCTTTAGATTATTTTTAATATAAAATTATAAAAATTTATGAATGATAAAAAAATAAAAGACTTGAAATTTAATCTCATTTTAATTATAAATATTTATGGAAGTCTCATTAAATTTTACAGAAGAGCCTAACCCAGTTGTTATAGGGTGTCCATAAGGATTCCCAAACTATTCTAATATTTAAATTCTAACAAAGAATGGTGAAGATGTAAGTGAACCTTAAACTAGAAAAGTAATTAAATTATCCAATGATTAAATGACTTGGATTGGAAGACAAAATCATACATAGTCTAATAATTTTATTGGTATTAATTATACATAAAAACAGGTATACATTAAGGAAACACAATCTCATTACATCCTGTATTAATACAAGCTACTCTTTAATAATAAATACACAAATAAAATAAACAATAATAATCTAGAAATTCAGCACTTGAAGATGGATTAACTTATTTTGAACAAAGGAAAATGGTGGCTGAAGAAATGGGTACTAATAAAAGTAGAAGAAAAATGAGATAGATGGAAACAAACAAGGTTGAAGAAGAGAATATTGTTTAAGCAGAATCAATTAAAGAAAAGTTTAATTAGAAATAATAAGAAATTTAAGAACAATTAGAAGTAGAAAAAGAGATCCATTAAATGGAAGAAGCAGCAATTAAAGAAGAATTACTGCCAGAATTTGTTAAAGGCAATGTTCCAGTTTTTTAAATATATAATGTAAGATCAATTGTATCTGAAGAAGATATGGAATTATTAGATACTTCAAAATTATAGGTATTTGTTAGTACAAAAAAGGAAGATACTTTACATCATTATCATCCTTAAGTAATATAAATAGCATCAGGATTAATATTTGATAACAAAACAAAATTGACTATCTTGAAATATTTAGAATATTTAAATATTTTGTTTAAATTCTAATTTAAATAAGTGTTTACAAATAAAAATGCTTAAAATATAGCACATGAACTTGGAATTTATAATCATAAATTAGTAACACCTATTTTGGAGAAATTTTATTAGGCAACTCCTGGACAAGGAGAAAATATATTTAATTTTAGCAGATCAAACTTTCTGAAAGATAAGTATATATGTTACATTATAGTATTGCATTTATTCATACACAAATTTTAATTTGACATAATTCCATTAGCAAAACATTTGAAATTGGATATTAAAAAATTAATTATGTATTGCAAAGAGTGTGGATGCACAGTTACAAAAAACAATGAAAAATAAATTGCTAAGTTGAAGCAATTTAAATAATGATATCAAATTATTGTATAATAAAATCATTCTGTTTAATATGTAGTTGTAAAATTTTAGATGATTTTTTGAGATTGAATAATT